GGCACGGACCCGAGCGGGGCGCCCAGGCGCCTGCCCACGGCGGTCACGTCACGCAGCCTCCCAGAGCCAGGCGCGGTTTAAAGGTTTGCGCTAATGCAGTCAGCTGGGTATCACTTAGAAAAAGGTCTTTAGTCAAGAAACGATATTGATAAATGTACAGTGCAGACAGGTGTATGAGTTAACACTAGACGCTTTACGTTAAATTTAAAACTTGGTAAGATCTACGTCCTTGAATAATCAGGAGCTAGAAATAAATTTAAGATAAGTTTGGATCTGGAGGTAGTTGATAAAATGTTTATTTTACAAAGTATGACTTCATTTTTGTAATCACGGCAGTGAGTCAGCCTGAGCTGGTTTGGCCAACTCGCAGCTTGTCCTGAGTCATACCTGTTGATTCGTAGAAGGATCCAGAGTGCTGACTCATGGTTGGTGACGAGGATTTTGCTGGGAGTTCTAGCAGCTGCCAGAAGCTAATCAGACAGCTTCCTGGTTTAATATTTTGCCAAAGTGCGTCGTTTGGTAACGTCAACAAAGCAAACTGTTTTCAGAAAGAAAGCATGTGCTGTCCGAGAGGAATTTTTTGTGGTATGTTTAAAAATGAAACTTTTAGTAATATCATTCCTGGCGATAAATTATGAAAGGTAATTTGTAAACAAATTAAAGAATAGAACACAAAGTCCCAAAGATTAGGAATTTGGTAATCTTGCACAATATTTGGCATTGTGCTCAAATGCTTGTTCAGTGAATGAAGTGCATTTCCCTTTTTTTCCGACTGGAAAAAAAACACACAACTTTATGACAGCCTTAGGTCCTAAAGTACAAAGCAAAAAGGCAGTACTTAATCTCCATAGGCAAATAGTTTTTGCCTAGGTAGTTCCTTTGAAAGAAACAAAGAGGAATTGATTCCGAGATTCTAAATGGTTTTACTTGACTAGATGTTTTTTAATAAAAGCTGAGAAAACTGTGATTCTAGTTACAAATTCCAATTTTTGTCTTGATATTATCTGTTGATATTTAATATATGGAGTTAGTTTGTCCTCATTTGTCTACTTAACAAAATTGTGAGACTAACTCCTAATTTATTACCAGTGAATCAGAAGCTTTAATTTTGAATGCCCAAATGAACACCGAGCAAAATTCTGTATTGTCTTTACATCGAGCCTCAATATTATAGAAATCTGCCCATTTAAAAGTAGCTACTTAAAAATGTTTTATTATGAAATATTACTAATGTATATATGAAAGTTGGAGATAAAACAAGCACCATAAAACCACCACCCAACTTTATTAAGGCTTAACATTTTGTTACTTTGCTTCAGCTTAAAACATTTTTAGGGTAGTAAAAAATACAATATAAAACTTAACCATCTTACCAGTTTTAAGAGTACAGTTTAGTATGAGTTAACTATAGTCACACTGTTGATCTCTGGAGCTTTTTCATCTTGCAAAACTAACACTGTGTACCACTGAACCACAACTCCATTTATTTCCTGCCCCTCCCCCCCAGCCCCTGATAATTACCATTCTACTTTCTGTTTCTGTGATTTTAACTACTTTTGATACCTTACATAAGTGGAATCATACAGTATTTGTCTTTTGGTGACTGGCTTGTTTCACTTAGCCTAATATCTTCAAGGTTCATTCATACATTTGACAAAACTTCTTTTTAAAGGCTAATATTACAGATTGGTTGATTGATTGATTGATTGATTGATTTGGGTTGCTTCCACCTCTTGGCTATTGTGAATAATGCTGCAGTGAACATGGGTGTGCAAATATCTCTAAAATTCCACTTTCAGTTCTTTTGGATATAAACTCAGAAGGGGGATTAGTTCTATTTTTAGTCTTTTTAGGAGCCTCCATACTGTTTTACATAGTAGCTGTACCATTTTACATTCCCAACAGCAGTGCACAAAGTGTTCCAACTCTCCACATCCTTACCAACATTTGTTAGGTTCTGGGTTTTTTAAAACATTTTTTAAAAATTTATTGATTTGAGAGAGAGGAAAGGGAGAGGGGGAGAGAGACAGAAACATCAATGTGTTGTTCCACTTATTTATGCATTTATTGGTTGAGTCTTGTGTGTGCACTGACCTTGGCATATTGGGACGACACTAACCAACTGAGCTACCTGGCCAGGGCCTACTTTCTGTTTTTTATTTTTATTTATTTTTATAGGGGCCATCCTAAGAGTGTGCGGTGATATCTCATTATGGTTTTGATTTGCATTTCCATAATGAGTTATTTGTTATTTTTTATTAATCAATGTATTTATTTACTTATTTAATATATCTTTATTGATTCCAGAGAGAGGAAGTGAGAGGGAGAGAGAGAGAAACATCAATGATGAAAGAGTCATCATTGATCGGCTGCCTTCTGCATGCCCCCAACTGGGGATCAAGCCCACAACCCCGGGCATGTGCCCTGACCAGGAATTGAACAATGATCTCCTGGATCCTAGGCCGATGCTCAACCACTGAGCCATGTTCAGCCTGGCTATTTTTTTTTTTAAATGATTATACATCCACAGGAAGTAAGAATAGTACAGAGAGGTCTCATTGTACCCTTCACCCAATTTCCCCTGATGGTAACAGCTTACATAACTGTAGTAAAATATCAAAACCAGGAAATTAGCATTGGGGTAATCCACAAACCTACTTAGATTTCACCAATTTCATATGCACTTTAGTGTGTGTGTGTGTAGTTCTGTGCAATTTTATTGCATGGGTAGATTGATGTAACTACTACCACCACCAAGACACAGCTGTTTCATCAACACAAGGATACCTTGTACTACCTCTCTCTTTTTTTTTTTAATTGATTCTAGAGAGAAGAAGGAAGGGATTGGAAGAGAAACATTGATATGAGAGAGAAACATTGATCAGTTGCCTCTCACACGCACCCTGACTGGGGATTGAACCTACAACCTGGGTATGTGCCCTGTTCAGGAATCGAACACACGACCCTTCGGTGCATGGGACGATGCTCCAGCCTACTGAG